TCGTTTGCCACCTTATGATATAAAAAAAAAAAAAAAAACAAGGATATGTAACCCGATGTCAGAGACCATAGTATAACGGGAAGTTCTATCACAAAAAAATATACAACCTACATAGGTATAAAATTTAATAAAAGAAAAGATATACAATATAAAAGATCTTATGACCCTTTAAATATCCTTGTCGGTCTATACACATGAAAATTATAACAAACGTGGAATTACAGACATATATAAACGGCTTTAGAAATGAATATAAACGAATCAGTTTAAGCATCTTATAAGAGTCGAATGTGTAACATGACGTGTTATTACCAGAGGCTAACAATCGTCGGGTCGTAAGCGAAGATAATTTGACAAATCCCATCAATGTTCTGACAAGCTTATTTCACGATTGTAGAGTCGTAGAGGAACGCATTAATCTTGTATGACACTTCAATTATACAGCACGTGTGCACTTTGCATAGAGAAAAATAAAAACAGAGCTCGGTGTCGATCACCACAAATGTCTTTTATTCTGGAAGAAACTGGTTTTATAATATAAATGAAATAAACTGCATGGTACAGGACGTTATTATACAAAACATATTAGGCTTTCTATTTGGATTCTAATTAGGAGATCTTTATCTTAGTAAAATTATTATCACATTTGATTCAGCAAGTCTAAGTTTTATTCGGAACAATGAAATCTTTTTACAAAGCACAGATAAAAGGATAAAAATTCTGCTTGGAATCGACATGTCTTTCTATGGAGAAAAAAGCATGGCTTCCTTTTTTACTACGTACTTTGGGATTTAAAAGAAAGTTAAAAATAAAATTTAAATTGAAGCTGAATGTTGAATTGTTATAGGATTTATTCCTTTAATTAGAAGTCTGCGCAGTTTCGCTTTCAGTGCACTAACTCGCTATTGCGAGCCTTGACCCGTAAATATAAACATATTCTTACTCAAGAATAGAACAATTATATGTATTGTGACTACAATAATCTTACTAATATTATAAATGCGAATGTTTAGATGGATGGATGTTTGTTTGAAGGTATCTCCGGAACGGCTGCATGAATCTTGCTTAAATTTGGCATAGATGTAGAACATAGTCTAGAAAAACATATAGGCTATATACTAATTAAGTATTTAGTTTCGTTTTTAATCAGTATTTATACATAACTAAAATATTTAACTATTCAGAAAATAATGTTATGTAGGGCCCAGAAGATATTTTGTCAAGCCGCTGTACTGGATCTTTGCGATAAAGAGCTGGCATCCTGGAATGTTTTGTATACAGTCAACTTATATGTAGCCTTTTCACTGCATCTTTTACTACATATTTAGTTGTAAATTTATTTTTCAATATATTCAAGAACTGAAGTAAACAAAATTGATAGCATACTAGAATGTACTGACACAAAGACAAAGGATAAAATATGTATGTATCGCGAACATCGCATTGAACGTGAAAATACCAATCGACTAACTGTCACATGAACAACAGATAACCTCTTTCAAGCGAAACTCTGGGTCAAAAGGTTAATCTTTTAAAGTTCAAAGATAAACAAAGGTTAGATTTATAAAGACCTCAGTCTTATTTAGAAATGTGAAATAGGTTTTACTTAGATTTCATAGACTTTTAGCAATAATATCTGGATTCACCATATTATGTCTCGAATTTAATATACGTGTAAAAACATAACATCTGTTTCATCACATGTGCTTCTGTTCGTGCAACCATAATTCATAATACATTTGTCTAAACAGCCCTATATCTGGTAATGTCCACACTGTTTAATTTACAATTACAAAAATATACTACTTAATTTCTATTAAAGTATTTTTGTAATGAAATTCTACTTCCTAGTGGATACTTTTTGCTCATTAAGTGAAGGAATAAAATAAAATAGAAGTCATACAGAACAATTGGCGAAAGTCGAATACAAAGAGGTTGCCCTTTGCGCCTTTTATCGACATGTTCGCATCTCATTCATTAGCCGCGCGCGTGACTGCCGTGAGTAACGAACCCGCTAACGGTGTTAGAAGAGACAATACCCAGCTCCTTGACTCCTTATAAGAAATATATTTTAAAAATGTAAGTAAATTTTATAGAAAGAGACAAACGATCAAGTCAACAATTACGAAAACAAACGACAACCGTATTGATCATAAGAATAGTCTATGTCAAATAGTCGGGAACGTGTTAAGTGCAAAACCATTAATTCCGCTGAACCCTCCGTAAGAAGATTTGATTCTAACAAATAGAAACAAGATTAAAACAATGAAAATTATTATTTTATTATGTATGTAAAAGCGAATGCAATGCTACAGATTCCAGATATTACGATGCTAAAAACGAGGTATTCAAAGCGCTCCATAAATGATACTTGCTCGACTTTTTACCTCGTAACAAAAAGCTTGTCAGTCGCACTGCGAAGAACGTAGCAGGCTCGTTGTAGCACAGGAAATGCCTTTTT